TTTTCACCAGTAAATTTTGCATGTTGGTAAAACATTCAACAACGTTTGTCTCATTAAAAAGATCATATTTGTCTGAATTTTTTCCTAGTTTTCCAATTTTACTACTTACTCAGGTGCATATCCACCCAAGTGCAAAAACTCCATATCTCTGACCCGCGTTCTAGGCATCCTCCTACAAGTTTGACCGTGGGGGCTTTATAGAAAATAAATACAAATTGCAATGTAGATCATGGACGTATACTCGCTTGCCATGTTACATTCTAGGATACATCCTTATTGATGCGGAATTACTGAAATGATTTTTGTGTTGTTTTCCTATTTTTATTTTTTCCTGCACTTATTTCAATTGTAATTTTTTTCAGTTAAATATTTACTTGTGCAATTGCATTTTGTTGGTTGTTCCACGCTTTAAATTTTTAGTACTTCTTTGTTTGTGTTTTCTTATTTATTTATTTTCCTGCAATTGCCCTTCATTGTGCAACTGCAGTTTTGTTGTATGTTCATGCAGTTGACTTCAATGGTGGGGCGCAAAAGCAGGATTGAGGCTTTTGAATGTCACTTGTGCCCTAGACACTTCTCTTCCGTGTTGAATACTTGAATATGTAAAGATAGTGCAACACACCCAAGAAACTAAAACTAACATGAACAATGAAGTCGTTTTTAGCTTTGTCCTTGGCAGCACACGATGTTTCTCTGTGACTTAGGTGAAAAGAGACACTTCAAAAAACTAAGCCCCCATAATTTGGACCAACCTCAAATGTTTTAAAGAGATTCATGAGACTAATTAACTTAAAAATGAGAACCTGAAAAAAAAGGACGGCGAGTAAAAACACACCATTTCGGCAACTATCTCACTTACAAGATTTGTGTGGTAGTAGGGGTTAATCTAAACTCATCAACAAATATTGCCGTAATTCCATACTCTTTACCAAAGCATCCATTGATGTACTCCCTCCGTTCCAAAATAAGTGACTTAACTTTATATTAACTTTAGTACAAAGTTAGTGCAAAGTTGAGTCACTTATTTTGGGACGGAGGGAGTACTTGTTAACATAAAGCACATGTAAATCTTCACTAGATTGTACAGTATTAAGAAAACACCTTCACTAGATTGCACTTAGTTTTTTTAGGGAGCTTTTTAGGGAAAACAATCATGCACGTTTATTCATCAGGCATAAAAGTTACTCCCTCTGTAACGAAATATACGATCTTATATTTTTCTTTACAGAGGAGTATATCGTTTGATAGCGCACTCGGTTTGATTATACTAGTGTTATGAACATCACTTTTTTAGAACTTAGTGAACATCACACATGTGGGCTCTGCACTTGATACATTTCTTTCTTCGAAACTTTCTTGGGCCGGTGCTACAGCGAAAACAGCACTCGGCCTGGCCAATACACTGGTTACCGAAGAAATTTCCTTCTCAGGAAAAAGTGAAGGGAGTTTCTCAGAAAAAAAGGGAAAAAGTGAAGGGCTTCTGGTGTCTCACTCTAACATGCACAGTCTGACGGAGACGAGTGAACGGAGAAGACCCCAGTGATCCTGGTATTTAACCAGCTTCCCTTGTTCTTGAAAAGAAAAAAACGCTGCCTCAACTCCTAGTATTTGACATGATTTCAGTCACTAGATCATTGCGTACCATCAATATCCCTGAGATCTGAGATCTCGACTGAGTACAAACTGATGGCGGGCCCTGGCTGCAAGCCTGCAACTCATGATGAGAGAAGAAGCACTTACCTGGCTCGACGTGGTTTTCTGCCCAACACGCACTCACGGTTGCACGGCCCAACCCTAAAAACGGCCAGATGTTCCGTCATCTAGCTTAGTTTGGTACGCGCGACTGCTCCAATCCAAATGAGTGCGTTAGCACACTGATCATGGCAGACTCACTAGTCTGAAACAAAAAAAAGGTGATGCATTATGTATTTTCTTACTGCTTCTAATTCAGGAATAAAAGTGCCCTCCAGTTTTTCATCGATCCGATCACGGGCTGGCGACCCACTTGGAAGGTGGCCATGATGGCCAAGGCGGGCCGCTTGACTCTGGTCAAGTTGGTCTTGGCGGCCGTCCTCTCCACCAACTGAGTCCTCCTTTTACGATCAAAAAAAAAAAACTGACGGTCCTCCTTTTCTTTTTGTCCTTATGTTACAATTTTTTTCCGAGTATTTCTACTAGAAACGAGGACTGGTTAAAAAAACTTCAATACATGCAAAAATTATACTTTCTTTCACGGAATTACTAACAGCATATCACACACTTCTTATGCTTGTGTCCTGGGAAATTTGGAGCGAGAGAAATGCTAAATTTTTTCGAAATTTTTTCCCATGAGATGCTTCAAAAGAATATAAAATTTATTCTAAGAATAAGTAAAAAGGGAAACACTTACCATCACCCGGCGGATCACAGCGGCCGCGTCTGCCACCTCACTTGCGTGACATGCGTCCAAGTGAGGTCCCGCATACCATCATTTGTTGAACTCGGTTCTGAAACAAGAGCTATGCTTCAGAAACATATGCGATGTTGCGATGCTCTACGACGGGTCCACATTTGGCAACAAAACTTTTCTTGCGATTTTTTTCTGCTACAAGACTTCAGTTGCAAAAAAAAATTGCAACAAAACCTCAGTTGCAAAAAAAATCTGCAACAAGACATGTGTTGCAGTAGTGGTGGGACGTTCAGCCGCTTGTAAATCTGACGGTTCGTGACCCGGCTGATATTTTAAAAATATCAACCGGCGGACGCGTCGCACGCCCCAAGTAAAAACTGGGCACCCTCCATCATGAAATCGCAGACGCCTTCCGGATGGCGCCACCCTTCTTGCTTTTGTTCTTTTTCTTATTTCTCCTTGCTTGGTTTCTCCTTCACGGGGCAGTTCAACATCATTATTCATTATATTCATAACGAGAAGTCTATAACGAGGCACAAAATTCACCGAACCTCTCGAAGAAGCCCTGATGGGTCGTTTGTGGATAGCGAGGCAGCAGGCGCTGGTATGATTCTTCGGGATTGGAGGGGCTCGATCATTTTTTCTGCGTGCAGATCATTATACTCTTGTAGAGATGCGGTTGAAGCTGAATTGTGTGGAATTATGGAAGGTCTATCCCTGGCCATTCAAAGATCGGACCTTCCAATTGCCATTGAACCAGATTCGAGGTTGGCGGTGTCTTTGATCTCGTCTAGTGAAGTTGATCGCTTGGTTTATGCCTCCTTGGTGAATGAAATTAGACTTCTTTTACGTCTAAGACAAACTTGTATTACTCCTGTCTCACGTGCTCAGAATAAAGTTAGTGATAGTTTAGCCAGGTTTGCTCGAGTAGAAGGCCGGACTATGACCTAGTTAGGTTCTGGGCCAGATGAAGTCTGGGGTTTTGCCCGTGATGATTGTAAAGACTTTACTATTTGAGTAATACAAATGTTATCGCAAAAAAGAAGAAGCCCTTTTCTTGTTAAGAAACTAACAATCGAGGATAAAGTGGTTGGTTCTGGTTCCAGCTGATCAGCTTACTTTTTTCTCTATTCACCCACAAAATGAAACGCATGCCAATTATTCCCGTGGAGACTTTCAAACATTATAAGCCAAGCTTTTCCTATAACAAAGCTTAGGCTGGTACCCTAGCTCCCTATAGAAAAGAAAGAAATAAAGGTTGAATACTTGATTATACGTGTGCCAGTGCCTTAAGATATCAACTTTCGAGTAGGAGAAAGATGCCTGGTAATAAATTCCACACTTCAAATGCACGCTGCTCCTTCGAATAAGTATACATTCCCTAGCACTCGTTCCCTATAGCTAGCTCCTGCGTGGATGATGTACCAGGTGGTGCACCAGTAAGCTCCGAGGAAAATCCTGAAAATATGCTGTTCACCGACGGGTGCTCCTTTCTCTTATTTGTGTTTGAAAATCACTAATAAGTGGAGATAATTCCACACTCGACGCGACAGCTGGCGTGGCAGGATCTGCGGACTGCAGCGGCAAGTTGGATTCAGGCTGGCACTGGCCGCCTTTGCTGACTGACGAGAGCGACTGGAACTCTAGAAGAATGTAATAGTATCGCGTCCGACCGGCAGGTCCAAAAGTCTTCCAGATCGACGCAGCTCATTGGGCAGACTCTGAGTGGTACCACGGCGATAGATTAGAGATCACTTCAGTGATTTGGCTAAGCGTCTACGCTGGGTCAAGAATTGTTTGACGAGTATTTCGTCTTCACCTTGGCGACTTGGAGACTTGGAGCAGTACTCCTACTCCTAGGCATTGCCAAATTGTTGGCAGTCCAACAGTAGGTGCCTTTCACTTTGGGGAATTTTTTGAAAAAAAATTTTGTATTTATTTTGGCTTTTTCGTCAAGGCAGGTGCACATGAGCTCGGAAGCAGAAACACCGCACTCAATACTCATGCATCTCTCAGTGACATATTCCCAACTTCTCAACAGGCACTCACCAAATGAGATGATGCTATTTGAATCTTGAGAATGTTCTACAATACACGGTTAATGATCACCAACACAAAACCCGGGAGGCGTGAGCCATGGATTAATTCGGCGCGACTTGATCATCTTGCACATTGTGCAAATGGCACAATTCTTGGATCTGGACAGTGAAATTGCAAATTTTTAGTTGAAAAAAATAACTGCTAACTACCGAAAAAAACTATTGCAGTTCTGTTGCATGGCTGCGATGCAAGAAGAAAATAAACACATGCAAACGGCAGCAAATTCATGGCAACGCGACAAACGGATACACGAAAACAATAATGCAAAATCTTAGAAATTCCAGTATTACTATTTATTACTTGATGTGTCAACAGACAACTCTCAAGAGATTTGATTACATGCTTCGCGCCAACGATTTCAGCTTTTTCTACAAACCTACTGGTGTGTATCCCTGACCTTCTGAGCCCTACAAACAAAACAGAACCGTATGACCTAGAGTCTACAAGCCTGTAAAAGGTCGCATGAAAAGAATATGATGAATGAGAGACACAAAACATGGTGCCTCGGAGTTCATACTGTGTGACTATTAGACTCCAGTAGCCTGTCTGATTCTGAGGGCATATCGGATGACATTTCAAAATTTTGCTTGGCTGTCATCTTGTTCCACTCATTCTCCACGCGGAAGAAAACCCACTGAAACCGCCTCAGCATTTCCAAAGCTGTTATCGCAAACACTGTGAGGTAGTTGTGCCGAAGATGCGCCGACAGCTTGTATGTCCATGTGCAGCGGAGAATGAGATTGCTGCCTAACACCCAGTAATACACCTGTAGAGCAATCACATCAGCACCAATGAAAAAACACCAAGGTAGGCTAGTTTAAACAATGAACATATATTCAAGACTATACCCAGTTCCGCCCATAAAGAAGGCTTGTCCATGTGCTTGGGCTTTTGAACATGAAAATCCTGGTTAAAATGCTGCAGGGATCGAGAGAAAAACTCGTTAGCAGCAGCGCAGGACTTGGATGTTCAAGGAGTAGGAAAATATTCTTGTAAAGACAGGCACCTCAAATCCCAATCACGCTTTATATCCCAGTAGAAGGAATACAGCGAATTTATAACCCCCGAAATAAGCCAGAGGGGACGGTAAAAGCTAACCCACTGGTCAGGGAATACATGATACTTGAGCGCCGATAAAAAAATCACCGGGACTGCTGTCGAGTACTTGAGTGCTGGATTTTGGACAAAATTACTGTTAAACGATTTCCGTAATCAGGTATAAACGCATACAATCCCAAATCTTTATGTTACATTTTAAACATCCAAGTTCACCTAGTAAAATAAAATAAATGAACAATCAAAGCTGCTGTATGCTGAGTAATACCGTTCAGAAGACAACTCTTCTCCTTTGTATCCTTGTACTGTCGAAGGCATTGGAAGAAACGACACAAATAAGGGAGCACGAGGACTAGAGGAATAGCTATAGAGTGGCTACCACAAATTGAATCAGCTTCAAACCAAGCGATTGTCGCCACCTGTAAAATACCAAATAACAGACATTAAAGAGGAACAAGATGAATTCTAGCCATAACTTACCAAACAAAGCATTACTGCATTAGCATATCATTTGCCAACAGTATGGAGAATGCTGCCGAGTAACAACACTATGAGCATAATAATAGGGAAATACAGAAATTAACCTGACGATTGACCATGCGACAAACTGAACGTTCCAAATCTGAGAACACCTGTCAAGAAATACAAGAATTAAGCAAAAATGCTAGAAATGTCAACGTGGGACAACAAGAAGCTATAAACAATACTCTACAAAACTTAGCAATAGCACACACAGCATTTTCACGTAGATAGCATTTTCTCCCGAAACATACTACATTATAGCCAATACAAGAAACAGATAATCATATACTCCCTCCGTTTCTAAATATCAGCCCTTCTAGAGATTTCAATACGAACTACATTCGGATGTATATAGACATATTTTAGAATGTAGATTCACTCATTTTGCTTCGTATGTAGTCCATATTGGAATCTCTAAAAGGTCTTGTATTTAGGAATGGGGGGAGTAACATAAACTAAACTTATGTGGAACTATCACAGTGACATTTTTGTCAAAGTTTTTCCAATAGTGATAAGCTAAACAAAATAATCCACAATCAATATTTCGTATAAATAAGTGGATACCTTTGACATGGATGTAAAAATATCAGCCAAAAAGAAGTCGGGGAATGTAATTGCCTGCAAAATAAAGGCATGGGGGATAATTAAATTTCATTTGATACGGCTGCTGGTTCCACAAGCACAATCAGATACATTAATGCCATGATGAAGCAAAACCTATGCATTACTAACATTTTGAACAACTTACTTGCAATGGAAGTATTATACGCAACATTGTCCTCAGGAAGTAAAAGCGCGATGATAAATAAAACATATCAAACGGAGAAAGGAGGACTATCAAAAGGATAGCATACAACAGAACCTGCAAAGAATAAGAAAGATAAGTCAATTTAACCACCCCGTATTTGAAAAGTAACGCATTGCTACAGAATACGAAGAATGCACGGCAGGACTTTTCCTTTTCCAAGTTGAGGGAGGAACAGGTAGGCCTTGCATCAAGCAGAACTTCACATTGACTTAACTACTACAAGCAGACAGCAATATGTATACATTATCAATTGTTTTTGTGGGTAGATGTACATTAATTTCTGTTCTTGCACATAAACCATACTAAATGGACCTTTTGCTTGATATGATTCAGGAAAATAGATTTAACTTTTAGAAAAGTAGGCTATGTGCAGTGAAGTGATGTGCTAAAGAAACATATAATGGACAAACTACCACTCAGATCATCTGCTATGACAGGATGTAAGTTCCAATTTATCAATTAGCACTGCATACCCAGTCGGACACACTCAGTGGGAGAATAATTTTATTAGATGTCAATAATACTATAGCTCTGCGGATAATATTTGTGCACACTGTAGAGGCCAAAAAATCTCATGAACTCCGGCACAGAAGAAAGCATGAAAGGAAAAGATTCAGTGGGCTGGATATTACACTGGTTGAGAAGCAGCAAGTGACACTTCCCCATGTGAGTACAGGTATAGGTAAGCTGTCATACTTGTGGGAACAATTAAAGTAAGCCAAGTAGCACACTGTCAATAAGACAAAAGAAAAGGTTACTTTGGCAGAATAATACGTCAGATACAAGTAATATAAGAAGTTATACAGCATAATATAAACATAAAGAACATGGAGAATGCACAAATAAAAAAAATAGAACACAGCTAATACAAAAGGTCATGATACAGGTTAAATAAAAGAGAGCCAGGTTCAAAAAAAGAGGCACTCAGCATTCACATTAGAAAATACAACAGGCACATGTTATTCTCAAGAATAATCATCCAAATGACGTATGTTCTTTGAGAAACTACATTAGGTATTATCTATGAGTGTAGTTGCAATGCCAAAAAATGGATTGGCAACTAGGTGAAATGTTGTGGGCTTGGAAGTTAAAATCAGCACAAATGTGGTAAGTAAACATTTTGCAAACTCAAGACGCTGTCACAAGTCATAACAACAGTATGGCACATAAATTATTCAAGAAATGTATACAGCAAATGTCCTATGGAATGACTAGAACATGTTGCCTATGGATGCCTATGTCAGTTCAATTGCACCCAACATGGATATTAACTTCAGCAGGTCCAGACTCAAGCAACATTTTTAAAATGCAAATGCAATCAAGAGAGATCAATAGGCATACCCTCCAAATTTCTCGGTGTGATAAATGTGTTTGCGCAAGATCAAACACCTTTACATAATTCACTGATGATTGTGCAAAGACCCACAAATTCACTCCCCATAACCAAATCATAAGTGCCTACAATAAGAACACTAAGCACAGTTACATAGATGCACAGGTAGCTGCTTGATTTTCTGTCTTAATACCTTGAGCATACACAATACAGTAATAAATAGAACTCACCACAAGGAAGAGAGGATTATAGTATAAGAAAACCTCATACAGAAATAAATCTCGCAGATCAGCACTCATCCTCATAACCGAGTCCCACCCTATCTGTAATCCCAAGAGTATTACCAATTACCACAAGATCGATTTCATGCAAGAAAATAAGGTCATGGACCGATCATAGAAAGACTGACCTTACAACAGCATAAACCCCATAGGAGAAACAATATAGCCTGGAAAAAAGACAGGTTGATAAGCAATTTGACAGATAAAATCCAGGCAGATGTGAAATCAATAAAACAGGATATTTAGGGTACATACATTTGATTAATTTATACAGTGGAGCAGGTTAATATATATGCATATTGTTTTATAAGGACATGCAAATGTATTTGAGCCTCTAAGAGGAAATTCAATAATAAATCATAAATCATTGGCACCGCAAGGGGCTCCGGCAGGGTGATCCTGTGTCACCACAGCTTTTTGTGCTCGCCGTTGACATCTTGGGCAGGCTCATCAAGTGCGCTATTGACATGGGAGTCATGGCGCGGCTACACCCGAGGCGCTCCATTCCCACTGTGTCGCTGTACGCAGACGACGTGGTGCTATTCTGCGTGAGGTCCTGACGCTCTTCAGCCGCGCTTCCGGCCTAATGGTGAACTACGCCAAGAGCTCCGCCTCGCTGCTGCACTGTGACACGGACGAGGCGACAGCAGCACTTGCGCACCTAGGCTGCCTCATCGCCAACTTGCTGATCACCTACCTCGGGATCCCCCTCACGGTAGGCCGCCCAACTGCAGCCCCTAGTTGATGGGATTGCCGGCCGGCTCCCCGCTTGGAAGGCCAACCTGATGAACAAGCTTGGGCGGCTTGCGCTGGTGAAGTCTGTGCTGAGCGCCATCCCCGTGCATCAACTACTCGCCTACGCGCCGCCAAAGAAGACGCTTCGTCAAATTGAGAAGATTGAGCATGGTTTCTTGTGGGCCGGCCGTGCTGCCGCCAATGGAGGCCACTGCCATGTCAACTGGCGCCGCGTTTGCCGCCCCATATCGCACGGAGGCCTGGGAGTCCAGGACCTGGAGCGCGCTGGCCTTGCTCTACGGCTACGATGGCTATGGTTCTCGCGCACTGACCATGAGCGTGCCTGGAATGGCCTGGACCTACAATTCTCTGCCGAGGAGCGAGCGCTCTTCTTCGCGTCCACCACGATGACCCTCGGAAACGGAACAACGGCATATTTCTAGGAAGACCGCTGGATAAATGGACAATCATTTGTGAGATCGCCCCGGCACTTTACAAGTGCATACCCAAACACCGGAGCAAAATCCGGACCGTCGCTGAATGCAAGGCCATAGCTGGGCCAGGGACATTCATGGGACCTTGGGCATACACGAGATTGGCCAGTACCTTCAAGTCTGGCTGGCGATCGAGCATATCATGCTCTCGGACACCCCTGATCAGCTAGTTTGGAGATGGACGGCCTCCGGTATATACTCTGCTAGCTCATGTTATCTTGCCACCTTCCAGGGATCCATGACTTGCTTCTCGTGGAAGCTCATATGGAAGAATTGGGTGCCGCCAAGAGTGAAGTTTTTCCACTGGTTGGCCAACCAAGACCGGTGTTGGACGGCCGACCGCTTGGCTCGACACGGTCTCCAGCACCAGCCACGATGCCCACTCTGTGACCAGGCTCCCGAGACGATGCGCCACCTCCTCTTGGAGTGCCCCTTCGCCAGGCAGACTTGGCACGAAATCCTATCCTGGCTACGGATGACCACTGCAGGGCCAAGCCACGAAGATTCACTCATGGACTGGTGGCTGCAGGCAAGGCAAAACACGCCAACACTGATGCGTAAGGTCCTAGCCTCCATTGCTCTGTTGACACCATGGATGATCTGGAAACAGCGCAACAGATGCATCTTTGAGGGCGCCCAGCCCCTGGTTAAATCCTGGTCTCGAAGATCAAAGAGGAAGCCGAGCAGTGGGCAAGAGCGGGCGCCCACGGCCTACGCGTCATTCTGCCGCCCACCTGGGACGTGCACTAGTTTCGCTGATCCTAATTTGTAATTGACCTCCTAGGAGGATTGTATCAAAACTCTACCTTTTCAATGCAATGAAATGCAAAAGCCCTTTGCATTTTCTCAACAAAAAAAATCATTGAGGAAAACAAGCAGCAGCTCCAACAGGACAATAGCAATCCTGAATGGCCATTTACAAGGCACGATACAGGGCTCCAACAGCTGTATCAACAGAGTGCTGCTGTTCTGTAATGAGCAAAGGCGCATTTTAGACTAGCAGAGAGCTAGGTACGGCATGAGTTTGAGCCCCATTTACAAAGTTTGCATATGTAAGGCAGTGAAAAGAGAGAAGCATCAGGTGTGATGGGCTTATCCCTTATCTGTTCTCAACTTTGCATTTTAGGTACTGACCATGATCAACAGAGCATATATATAACTCATGAAAAGAGAGGGTATTAATTGACCCATTTTCAGGAGCGGGTATATTACACTACTACAGTATTTGCAGGCAAATGTATGCGATGGGTATAACAAGCTCAGACAATCTGAAATCAGAGCTCATGTGTGTGAAACTTACACTTAGTAATACATTCCACAGCACAGTAGAGGGAAAATTGTGGTTGAAAAGCTAACCTACCTTAAACCGCCAAAGAAAGAGCGGCGAAGGCATGCCCACAACCGCGGGGACGGACGCGCCCTTCATCTCGCCGACGATCCCGGGCCTCTGCGCGCGCACGCGCGGCGCCTGCGCCTCCGCAGGAACCCTGCGTACGCAGAGATTAATCGCACCGGATCAGCAGCATGCAACGAAATCCGCGAGCAATCAAGAAACGGAAGAGCACAGGTGCTGCGGGATCTCGCCGCTCTCCCACGAATCAGACTCGGCCAGAGCCGGTGCCGCGGCGGCTTACCGGGAAGCAACAGCCCGGATCTCCACCTGAACAGGGGAGATGCCGCCGCCGGGGTGAAAGGAAGGCGCAGCTGCCGCCGGCTAGGGAAGTGGGCGAGCAGGACCGTCAGGACCGAATCGGATTGAAAACCTGACGAATTATTCGGCTGGGTTCAGGCAAGGATCTGCCGGATCTGAGGCGGCTGCTCCGGAGCTCCCCTGACCCTTCGTTGCCTTCAGCCAGCCGCCCCAGCGACAGAGGGAGAGATCCGGGAGGTCGCCGGTCGCCTTCGACCGTGGAACTGGCAACAGCGGGGAGGAGACCCGCAGAGATGAGAACACATGGCAAGCACGAATCTTAAAGTATGCACCCCTTTCCTATACACATTTTACGAGCACGGTCGATTTGATGCCAAAAGTTCGCGTGCCAATTGGCTAGTGATTGGTTGGTTATCAATTTTTTCTGTCAATCTCATAAAATGTTATCAACTTGGCAAGTTTTGATTTTGCCAAATATTGGCATCCAATCATTCATTGTCTCAACTTTGCATTTACATGATGTGCTCTTCAAGTTTGTTCGATGAGTACTTTCATTTGTAAAAACCATATAACAACATTGTTCATGGTAAGAAAATGATGCGGCACACCCATTGTATAGCAAATGGTATGGCATCACCTATGGTGTGGGCTAAAGTGATTCAAAGTCTCATTTAAATTGACTCGGCCAATGAAATTCATCGATGATACATGTCGAGTGAAAAGCGAACCAACATCTTGTTTTGGTCTATATTTAGACCAAAAAATATCTTACATTGTGATACAGAGGGAGTAATATTTACTTGACATAACAATGAAGATATAACAAGGAACCAAGGAAGCCATAGCCTCAAAACACCGTTGCTCATTTCTTAATTTTTCTCGATAAAGGGCGCTTTTATTATCTCAAAATGTAGCATCAGAGTGATACAAAGCATTAAGAGTATCACCCGGCCTCTGCATAACTAGGATGCACACAGCCAAACACCAGTGGTCTGATTAACAGAAAGATAAAAGACCGACAATTCGGCAACAGTAGAGTCCATAGACCGACACTATGCATATGTCGAAAGAGATGGTGGACTGAGCCGGCGATTATGCTGCCATCCATGTTGGGTAAAAATCTCCGTAGCCACCTGCTCCAACAGCGTACACACCGCCTTGAATAGCGGTTGGTACTCCGCTTGTTGTAGCGTACATCACGTACGAAGCGAGTGCGTACAACGGAAAATAACCTGCAAAGGAGAAACAGTTTTGTCATTAAAAACAACATCATTTCTGCATAGCCAAAGTGACCATAGTAAGGCATACGCTCCCACCCTTATTAGCGTTTTGTATGTATTTGAAATACCGTCCAACCAATGACCAAAAATATTGGCAACACTTGTGGGCGGATACAAATTTAACGCTATTTGGATGGCTGACCCCGTAGAACACGCAAACTTACAGTGAAAAAAAGAGGTGTTTAATTGTCTCATCATGAGTACAAAAACAACACTTCTTACTTCCCGGCCAGTTGCGTCGTGCGAGGTTGTCTTTTGTTAGCACAACTCCCCTACGGAGATACCACATGAATATTTTGACTTTAAGTGGTACCTTCGCATTTCAATTTTTTTTGTTATTACTCACCGGTACCTCAGAATGCGTGAGTGCACGATACCTAGAGTCTACTGTGAAAGACCCCGATGTAGTAAGGTTCCAGCAAAACACATCACGACCTTGTGTCAGGATAATCGAATCCAGACGGGACAATAGATTATTCCATGACATAAGTCAGGTGCCAATCAAATCCTGCCTGAACGAAATATTTGACGGGGATGAGCTGAGCACTTGCGCAATAGTATTATTCTTATCGCGTGCAATGTTGTATAAGGCTGGGTATTGCTCATTTCTTAATATAACAACTAGATATGTGTTCATATAGAAAAAAAATATCTTAGGTCATGGAGAACTACCTCTTAAGAGATTTGCTCAACACACAAGGCTCAAATTCAGTTTCACATAATACCATGTCATGTACCACACCAAACACACAAACACTACACATCTTGTCTTTCCATGAATTGTCCCCTCCAACCATATGTCCATCGTTCTTGTTATCCACAAAATTTTGTGCCTTCAGGAGATCCATCGAGGGCTAGGATCTTCATATAGTTACTAGCAGCTACATGCAGAGACTCAATCAAGCTGCCAACTACATCCAATAGCTCCATCAAGCTACCATCATCAGCAAACACATATAGGAGTCCTTTCAAGCTACTAGCAGATATGCCAAGCTAATATAGGGCAACACCACGGTAACAGAAAGTTGAGAACCCATCTAGGGTTTCTCTCTCCCTCCCCTATCCCTTGGCGGTTAGGGTAAACTCTCCCGTCCAAACTTCACCGGCGAGCCCGTGGATTCGCCTCCCCTCCTGTCGCTCCGACGGCTGGTGGCAGGGAGGGGAATCCCTATAGCGCCCAAGATGCGATTCTATCACAATCACGTGATGAATTTATGATCAGGCACAATCACATTTCGAGCGGATGGCAAGGTGGATATCATTACAACATACCATGTATTGAATAGATGAGAATACCAGATAAAGGCTTACACTCGCCACAAGCTACAATACGAATACATCAATATATCAATACATAGCAATCATCATACGAAAGAGCAGGATCCGACTACGGATGAAATCAAATGAAAAAGAAGAACGACATCCACCCTGCTAATCCCAGGCTCCCAACCCGGAACCTATCCCTTGATCGAAGAAGAACTCCAAAAGCAAACAAGCATCGCTCTCGCGTCAGATCATCGTATAACCTGTAGCTGCAACTGTTGTTGAAGTAATCTGTGAGCCACGAGGACTCAACAATCCCATTACCATGGGTATCCAGACTAGCAAAGCTTAATGGGTATGGAATGGATAAGTGGTGAGGTTGCAACAGCACTAAGCATTGTATGGTGGCTAACTTACAAGTACAAGAATAATAAGAGAAACTACGCATAACGGTCGCAAACTAGTAGTGATCAAGAAGTGATCTTGAACTACTTACGAGTCAAACATAACCCCACCACGTTCTCTTCTCAAACTCACTCGAACAGAGACGGTCACGGTTACGTACGCGGTTGGTGTATTTTAATTCGGGTTTAGTGTCAGGTTCTCTACAATCGTATATTAAAAATTTCCAATCTGCCACATAACCGCGGGCACGGCTTCGCGTAAGATTTAACCCTGCAGGGGTGTCCTAACTTGGCCCATCACAAGCCAACACAAGCTGCAGTGGAAGTACCTCAACCTCAAGAAAACCTGATCAACCTCGAGTCAGCCCGAAGTATCCTCGGAATCCCGGTGCACAAGACATTTCGACAATGGTAACACAAGTCTAGCAAGACCTCCTGGCGTGTCGACACCCTGATAGGAGTCGCACATATCTCGTTCTCAGGACACGACTAGATGATCTAAGCGTACAGTAACTAACGTCCCGAGTTGCCCCAGGTAGCCCGCACGATGCTGTAGTTTGGACCAGCACCATCAGCACTGGCCCATGTATTATGTGGAGTAACGAACCTCGGGTAGCGCTAACTCCCTATGCGTCAAATTTATTATCATGTTTATTATGTTGGGAAAATGTTAAAACCAATGTTGGGCCTTGCTGGAAGCGGTTATTCAAAGTGTCAAGAGGGTCTCATTCCCCTGAGTGCGTTAGGAACGATGATCAAGGAACATAACACCAGTATGACGGAAACTAGGGCGGAAAGAGTGGAAGAAAACACCAAGCAAAAGGTAGAGCCTTCCACCCTTTACCAAGTATATAGATGCATTAATTAAATAAGAGATATTTGATATCCCATGATATTCATGTCCCAACATGGAACAACCTGCAACTAGCAACGCTATAAGAGGGGCTGAGCAAAGCGGTAACATAGCCAAACAACGGTTTGCTAGGAAGGTAGAAAAGGTTAGAGGCTTATCATGGTAATTTGGGAGGCTTGACAAACAAGTGGTAGGTAGCGCGACTTAACGATAGCATCGAGACAACTAGCAAAGCAAAGATAGTAGTGGTATCCAGGGTAATGATCATCTTTCCTGAAATCCCGCTCGGAAGAAGATCGAGTCCATGAAGAAGACAAACCAACATAGTCGAACGAATCCTCACAATCGCAACATTACCGGAACTATCGAGAAGAAGCACAACCGGAAAGAAGCAAACAACATGGTAAACACACTAGCATAAATATGGCATTATGCAAAACCAAGTATGATGCATGTCCGGTTTAATGAAGCATGGCATGACAAAGTGCAACAAACAATACTACAAATTAAGTGGAGCTCAATATGCAACGAGTTGCATACTGACGAAACACCACATTCGAATTATTTAGTTTGCTCTTGTTTATGCTACTCTTCAATATTAAATGAGGCCGGAAACAACAACCAATAATTCCAGACAATCCCCACATGTCATTTAGCAATTTTTAAGCAAACAACAATTTTACATTTAAATGTTGTTATCATGATGCGGATGACATATTCAAGTTTATGCATTTTTTTATGAAAATGTTGACATAAGTGATATGAAGCATTTTGTCGCCATGGTGGAAAGAAAGGGGCGCCATGGTGGAAAGAAAGGGGTGCCACGGCGACGAATCTAAAAATGATGGCACGGCAACATTTTGGTTCCGTAACTCGGTCCAAGGAACAAGTGGGGGTGATGGAAACGTGCAAGATCAACGCAGAGTGATCCCGGATACCGTGTGTCCCACTTGACGGTCGCATGGCAAATGAGGA